GCTAGGTGGTGCAGTAGATAAAGCACCGGCCCTGAAGTTAGGAGGACCTGAGTTCAAATCTGGCCTCAGACCAAACATTTGACACTTACTAGCTGTGTGACCCTGGGCAAGTCACTTAACCTCAATTGCCTAAAAAAAGGGGAGGAGGGGAATACGAGAGATGTGTAGGAGGTGAAATCCATAAAAATGGGCAATTGATTGAAAGTGGGGAGGAGAAGGACCATCAAAATTTGAAGATGACTATGAGGTCATGAACCTGTGTGATTATAACCATGATGGTACCCTCAGTACCTCAGTATGGGGATTTAAAAAAAATTGTATTCAAAGGATTTATCCCTACCCAAACCTGAGCAGAGCACAAGAACTTCCTCACCTGGGTGGGGCCTGAACAAGATTGTTAAGAAAATTCATCCAATCTCATTATCAGTAATGTCCTTTAAGGGACTGATCTTTGAAATGAGGACTGTAGAAAAAGGGGGGAACCCTGGATCTCCCCAAATCATTGGTTAATAATCATTTCTCTCAAGCAGACATATGGAAGTTATGAGAAAGTAGGTGGTTAGGGGAGAAAGAAAATAAACCTATTTTATCCAAAGACCCCAGCTTCTGGGATAAGAACTCACTCTTTGAAAAAACTGCTGGGAAAACTGGAGAAGAATATGGCAGAAATGAGGCATTGATCAAAATCTCACACCATATACCAAAATAAAGTCAAAATGGGTTCATGATTTAGATATAAAAGCTGATACTATAAGCAAAGTGGGAGAGCAAGGAATAGTTTACCTATAAGACTTATAGAGAACTGAAGAATTCATGACCAAACAGGAGATGAAGAACATTACAAAAAGCAAAATGGATAACTTTGATTACATTACATTGAAAAGTTTTTGCACAAACAAAGCCAATGCAACTAAGATTAGAAAGAAGGTAGAAAATTGGGAAAGAATTTTTACAACCAGTGTCTCTGCTAAGGGCCTCATTTCTAAAATATACAGAGAATTAAGTTAACTTTATAAGAATACAAGTCATTCCCCAATTGAGAAATGGTCAAAGGATATGAACAGGCAGTTCTCAGATGAAGAAATTAAAGCCATCTGTAGTCATATGAAAAAATGCTCTAAATCACTACCGATTAGAGAAATGCAAATCAAAACAACTCTGAGGTACCACATCACACCTATCATATTGGCCAAGATGACAAAACAAGAAAATGATAAATGTTGGAGAAGATATGGGAAAATTGGAACACTAATGCATTGTTGGTGGAGTTGTGAACTGATCCAACCATTTTGGAGAATAATTTGGAAATATGCCCAAAGGACTATAAAAATATGCATACCCTTTGAACCTGCAACAACACTTCTAGGGCTGTATCCCAAAGAGATCATACAAATGGGAAAAAGACCCACATGTACAAAAATATTTATAGCAGCTCTTTTTGTGGTGGCAAAGAATTGGAAATTGAGAGGATGCCCATCAATTGGGGAATGACTGAACAAGCTGTGGTATATGAATGTAATGGAATATTATTATGCTATAAGAAATGATGAACAGGCTGATTTCAGAAAAACCTTGAAAGATTTGTATGGTCTGATGCTGAGCGAAATGAGCAGAACCAAGAGAATGTTGTACATGATAACAGCCACGTTGTGCAATGGCTAATATTGATAGACTTAACCCTTCCCAGCAATACAAGGATCTAGGACATAGACTTAACCCTTCCCAGCAATACAAGGATCTAGGACATCTCCAAAGGCCTTGCGATGGAAAATGCTATCCACATCCAAAGAAAGAACTATGGAAGTTGAATGCAGATTGAAGCATACTATTTGCTATTTTTTTTCTCTTCTGCTGAGTTTTGTTTCCTCTTTCTGGTGGTTCCTCCTATTGGTTCTAATTCTTACTTACAACATCACTAATGTGAAAATATGTTTAATAGGAATGTATATGTATAGCCTATATCAGATGGTGTGCCATCTTGGGGAGGGTGGTGGGGAGGAAGGGGGAGAAAAATGTTAAACTCAAAAGCATATGGAAGTGATTGTTGATAAATCAAAATAAATTAATGAAAAGAAAATAAAAGAAAAAAAGAAAATAAACCTATTTTGAACACGCTGATTTCAAAAGGCCTAGTGGGCCTTTTGTGGTGGGACACTGTAGGCCATGACCACGTCCTGTGCCCATTATGTGAGACTTGAACAGGTCCTGTGATACCAACAGTGTTTCAAGTCACATGGGAACTAGGGAATGTTACTGGACAGTAGGCCTGAGATGTAGGCAGATAGGGCACAAAAGTATCTTTGTTTTATGCACAGTGGAAGGCTTTGCTCTGATATCATGACCCCTGGCATCTCCACTGGCTTATGAAAAACACTGAATGCAGGCCAGCAGGAGGCCTTTGCAAATTCATATTCTTGCTATTTTGTTTTATTTTAATTTATTATATTTATTGTATTTTTTCAGTTTTAATTTTTAAAATTAAAAAGTATTTCTTTTCTCTTCCCCTACCCTACTTAAAAGAAGAAGGAAACTAAAACCCATGTATCAGATATCTTGCTCTGTGTTTGACAATGGTATGCATCTTTACAATCTGAGTAAACCTACTTTTTATGCACTTTGCTTGTGTCAGTCAGTCCACAAGCTTTTATTAAGAGCCTGGTATGTACCAGGCACTATGCTAATGCACTGGAGATACAAAGGAAGACAAAAGGCAGTCCCTGATCTTTTTTTTTTTTTTTAGGTTTTGTAATAATATTTTATTTTTCCTAATTACATGTGAAAACAATTTTTAATGTTCATTTTTTTTAAATTTTGAGTTTCAAATTCTCTCCCTCTTGCCTTTTCCTCCCCACTCCCTGAGATGGTAAGCAATTTGATATAGGTTATACATGTGCAGTCATGCAAAATAGATTTCCATGTTAGTCATGTTGTTAAAGAAGACAAAAACAAAATAAAAAAATGAAAAAAAATAAAGTGAAAAAAGTATGCTTCAATCTGCATTCAGACTCCATCAGTCCTTCTCTGGGGGTAGACAGAATTTTTCATCATAAGTCCTTTGGAATTGTCTTGGATAGTTGTATTGCTGAGAATAGCTAAATCATTCATAGTTGATCATTGTTACAATATTGCTGTTACTGTGTACAATGTTCCCCAGGTTCTGCTCATTTCACTTTGCATCAGTTCATGTAAATCTTTCCAGGTTGTTCTGAGAGCATCCTGCTTATCATTTCTCATAGTACAATAGTATTCCATCACAATCATAGACCACGACTTGTTCAGCCATTCCCCAATTGATGAACATCTCCTCAATTTCCAGTTCTTTGCCACCACAAAAAGAGCTGCTATAAATATTTTTGTACAAATAGGTCTTTTTCCCTTTTTTATTATTTCTTTGGGATGCAGACCTAATAATGGTATTGCTGGATCAAAGGGTATGCACGGTTTTACAACCCTTTGGGCATAATTCCAAATTGATCTCCAGAATGGTTGAATCAGTTCACAGTTCTACAATAAATGCATTAGGGTACCAATTTTCCCACGTCTCTGCCAACATTTACCATTTTCCTTTTCTGTCATATTAACTAATCTGATAGGTGTGAGGTGGTGCCTCAGAGTTGTTTTAATTTGCATTTCTCTAATCAATAATGATTTAGAGCATTTTTATATGATTGTAGATAGCTTTGACTTCTTCTGAAAACTTCCTGTTCATATCCTTTAACCTTTTATGAATTGGAGAATGACTTGCATTCTCACAAATTTGATTCAGGTTCTACATAGTTGAGAAACAAGGCCTTTATCAGAGACGCTTGCTGTAAAAAATATTTCCCAACTTTCTGCTTTTCTTCTAATCTTGACTGCATTGGTTTTGTTTGTGCAGAAGCTTTTTTTATTTAACATAATCAAAATTATCCATGCTTTCTATCTCTTATTTGGTCATAAATTCTTCCCTTTTCCATGGATCTGACTGGTAAACCATTTCTTACTCTCCCAATTTGTTTATGGTATCACCCTTTATGTCTAAATCATGTACCCATTTTGATCTTATCTTGGTATATGGTACAAGATGTTGGTCTATACCTAGTTTCTGCCATACTGTTTTCCAGTTTTCCCAGCAGTTTTTGTCAAATAGTGAGTTTTTTGTCAGTCCTTGCTCTTGAGGAGCTCATATCCTAATGAGAGAGACACAGACACACAATTATATATGAATAAGATATATACAGGATAAATTGGAGATAATCAACAGAGTGAAAGCATTAAGGGGGATTGGGAAAAGCTTCTGGTAGAAGGTGGGACTTTATCTGGAAGGCACATCAGTCCTTTTTGCCACTCAGATACCTGAATTGAGGACAGCCGCCATCAGCCTCCTAAGACAGAAATCCAGGTAGAAATGATCAGCAGTCAACTGGAGATAAAATACTAGGGCTTGGGAAAGAGATGAGAGCCAGATCTGTAGATTGGAGAGTCATTTGCATAAAGATGATACTATAGTTAAACATGTAAGAGTTTCTGAATCATCCGACACCAGTGCCCTAACCAGAAGAACCACTGGCCTGCCCAGTTAAGAAACCCCATATAGATGCAGAGCCACAAGAAACCTTAGATGTCATTTAATCTAAACCTCATTTCTCAGATAAAGAAACTATGTCCCAAGAAGTTAAATCATTCATAAGTAGGGAGTAGCGGAGTCAAGATTAGAACTCAGATCTTCTGACCCAATTTTCCATCACTCCATAGTAATCAGTGACATTTAAGTCCCCCTATATTCAAAGTACTGGAAACCTCCTAGTAATTGGCCTGGTGAAAAGGTGCATGTGTGTTTTCCAGGGAGACGATTAGAAAGGTAGTATTGTCTGTTCAGCCAGTCAGAGTATAGTTTTTCATGCATACTGTCATTGCTTAATTGCAATGAAGTAATTATTTATTGTATTTTGAAAGAGGCTTTAAAAAAAATCCAACCCAGAGATGATTCAGACCAATAATTATCTTGGCTCTATTGCGGCTGAGTTTCAGGCACAAAGTACTGAACTTACTGGCTTCAAAGAAGTAGGTGAGACAAGACCTAGCCAAAGCTGAAGAGCTGCTGTCCAGCGTCTCCCTGCTCAAGGTAAGACTCTTTGGAATAACTTGTCGCCCTCTTCTAGTATGTGTCCCTTGTGAGCCCGCACCATGATGTTCTCATAGGAGACATCTCAGTTTCTTTGGCTCTTTAACCCTGACAAATTGGAAATTATTATGATCGTCTGTCTTTGTGTGTGTGTGTGTGTGTGTGTGTGTGTGTGTGTGTGTTTTCTCCCTACCCCAGAGGCTGTTTAAGTAAGAGGCATGGTGAAAATTATGAACATCTGTAAGACCTACCACCACCGGAAAAATGTAGAGTTGGCATATTTATTTCATTAGACTCCCATTGTTAGGATAATATCAAGGAAGTGGATCAGTATTCTTGACGTCATTTATGCAGGCAGAATCCATGCATTGCTGGACCTAATCTGTCTGGTAGAGCAGTATAAGAGATGGTAGAGCAGTATAATAGATGTCCCTTAAGGACTTCTGCTACTCTAGAATTCTGAGATGCTTTACCAGGGGAACAAAGTGCCATGCTCAACTGAAATAAAAAAGCTAAGTAATCTCCCACAATTGCTATAGTGGAGTCTCAGTCACTGGGCAATCTTGAAGTCATATGGCATAACTGGTTGAGCTTAGGCAAAAAACAAAAAACAAAACCCACCACCCTCATATCTGCCTGAATTATCGAAATTGATCAGACCTAGGTGTGGGGATTAAAGGGAAAGCCTTAGCCTGAATATTCCAATTCACTCTGTCACCTGGACCTAATTTTGAAAGCTGGAACTTTATGGAATTTTTCACCTAAACAGAATTCCTGGAATTATTACCCATTTTCAATAATGGGACGGGGTGGAGGGGATGGGGCAGGATGAGGAGAAAACCTTGATGCAAGTTCTTACCTCTACCTCTAACTACCCAAGCTAAGCTAATCTGCTTTGTGTTTTAATTTCCCCATCTGTAAAATGGGTATTTGTGCTCTGCCCACCTTGACAGGGTTTGTTGTAAGAATCTAGTGAGATAGAAGGCTGAGATAGGACTTTGTAAACTGTAAAGCATGATTGAAATATAAAGGATTCTTATTATTGATTATTTGATTTCTCTTGGATTAGACCTCTTACTAATATGTAGGCTTCTAAATGGTCGTTTTTGTAGGGTTAGTGACATCCTTGTTCCTCAGACTTATGTGAAACAGGTAGTACAGGAGAGAGAGCTATGAGTCTGGAATCAGAAGGTTCAAATCCTACTTCCATTTACTACCTTTGTGACTTTGGGAAAATCACCACATCTCTGGGCCTCGGTTTTCTCATCTATAAAATGGGGTTACTAGAGTAGATGACCTCTTTTGTCTCATCCAGCTCTTATTCTATGATCCCATGATCCCTAAGGTCTATTCTAGTCTTAAATGCTCCACTCTGTGACATACTCAGTGATGTCAGAGCCTCACAATGTGGTACGCAGGAAAAGTGCTGCACTTGGAAACACAGGATCTGAGTTCAAATCCCGGCTCCGTGTGACCTTGGAGAAGTCACTTTATGTCTGGGCTTGTTTCCTCATCTTCCATTAGTAAACATTTCATGAGATCATTGGACTAGATTGCTTTTATACTTCCAACTCTTACTATGAAGAACAAGATTAATTAACATTTATATGGCACTTGAAGGTTTGAAAAATTGAAAATTTGAAAAAATTGAAAACAAAAAAATTCAAATAAATATTGTCTCATTTGATCCACACTGAAGCCCTGGCAGGTAGGGACTATTATTTCCCCTCTCTCCTCAACTTTACAGGTGGGGAAACTGAGGCTGGGAGAGGTTAAGTAACTGCCCAAGAGTCACCCAACTAATGTGTCAGAAACAGGATTTGAACTCAGGTCTTCCTGACCTCAAGTCTAGTTCTTTCTCTCCTATACTACCTAAAAATATTCCTTCCCCCATGAGTAGAACCAATAAGTTGATTTTTTATTTTATTCTCAGGGATATTTTTACAAAGTTGTATTGTATCTGACAAGTTCGAGTGGGCATTTCTTTTTCCTGGCCATTGAGGTGGATCCGTTTAATACAATTTAAGTTATGCCAGAAATACAGAAAATCATGAATTAGAAAACTCATTTTTCTTTGGCATATGAGCATGCCATCTATTTTGTCCTTACATATGAGAAAGGACATTTTGTACTTTTAAAACTTCTGACCTTTGCAAGAGCACCTTCACTGCCACCAAATAGCCAACCGGAAGCATTTCAAATTCATGTTGGGTTCTTTCTTACAGAGAACCAGCCCTGCCCTTGCTTGTCAGCTAGTTTAATGGTTTAAACTTTTAATAGTCTGCTCTTTACACAGAAGGGTTTTTTCCCTCTCCTTACTCATTAATTATCACTGTGTCTAAACATTTTAACTGAAAGTTATATTCAGACTCTCCCTTTAGCCCCTAGTAATTTCATGTGGTCATAAATTTCCAAGAGATAAATATCCTCCTTGATTTCAGATTTTCATTCTTAGAATGACTTCTAACTGACACATTTAAAGAATTCTGGGAAAATCCCTACTGTCATTTTGGAGATAGGAAATACAGTTGTTGGTTTTTGGTTTTTTTCACTTTAAATAAATCTGAAAACTTGCCATGCCCAGCAAACTCAAATGTACGTGACTTCAAAAGTTAAAAAAAAATCTCCAGTCAACTCTTAATTTCGAGCTGGGGTGTTTAACCTTTTTTGGGTCAGGGGGCCTTGTCCGTGAAGCTGGGTGAAGCCTGCAGACCTCTTCTCAGGATTATGTTTTTAAATAATCACATGAAATGTTAAATTTCAAGTAGAGGTTAATGAAAATAAAGATGTAATTTTATTTCCATCTGAGTCTACAGACACTCCCTACGAAATCTGCCTCCATAGGGTCCATGGATCCAGATTAAGAACCCCTGACTTACTATTTTTCTTCCTCTTCTGTTGAGTTTTGCTTCTTCTTTCTGGTGGTTCCTCCTGTTGGTTCTAATTCTTACTTACAACATCATTAATGTGAAAATATGTTTAATTGGAATGTACATGTATAGCCTATATCAGATTGTGTGCTGTCTTGGGGAGGGTGGGTGGGTAGGAAGGGGGAGAAAAAATTTAAACTCAAAAGTTTATGGAAGTGATTGTTGATAAATCAAAATAAGTTAATAAAAAAAAAACCCTGACTTAAAGCATAACCCTGTGTGCTACAACCTCACATTCTCTGAATTAAAACGAAAGGTCTAGCATATAAGAGTGATTTCACAAACACTGGAAATATTAGCAATGAATATCTGTGTGACTTGACTTTGCTGGTTCACTGTGGACACAGAAAAATGCACACAATATATGTCATTTTCCCCATCTATAGTTTCCTAGAAGATCAGAGCTAGAGAACTTTAGAGAGCCCATAGGCAAACCTCTTTATTTTTACAAATGAGGAAACTGAGGTACAGAGAGAGGAAAAGACTTGTTCAAGGTGAACCAGCAACATAGTGATAAAATCAAGACTAGAACCCAGGCCTGCCAAGTTCCAGGTTCATGTTCTTTATTCAGCACAAATTTATCTTTTTCCCTTGCCTTTTATTTATCTATGACCACCTCTGACTCTCCTCTTCCTTTCTTTCCCACCCTTCAGAACAGCTCAAAAGGTGCCCAGACAAAATTGTCTTCCTGAAGGGATTGTTTCATTCTTTGTAGTTGTATAATTTTCATAATCTTCGTATAATCTTTTGTATAATTTTGTACCATCAAACCTAGCTCATAATAAGAATTAATAAATACTTGTTGATTGATTGAGTCTTTTTGTGTCCACAGAAATATATGCCACTGTACACATTACTTATTCGTAGAAGTTCAGAGCTGAGAGTTTTATAGATAATCTATTTTTATGGACAAGGAAATAGAAGGTTAAGTAATTTACTTAAGATTATATAGGTAGTAAGGGACCAAGTCAGATGCAAACCCAGGACTCTTGACTACCAATCCAGTTCTCTGCCACGGCCCTGTCTTGTCTCTATTTTCTTTGTCTTGGAGGCTATGCAGCATTCTTCACTTGCCTGTGAATACTGATCCCTCCTCCCACTTCCTCTGTCATCCCATTCCACTCATTGCTTTGAGCCACGCATTCTCATTTCATGTCTGATTATCTTCTTCCTCGTCTTCCACCTCCATCTCTAGGCCCTACTCCCACCATTGCCTTGATGTGCCCCTTCCTGTCTAGAACCACCCACTCCCAAAATTGATTATTCTTTGCCTGTTGTGGTGACCTTGGCTTCACTTCCCTTGACCCTAAGGGTCATAGGGTTATTTGTACATGTAGTTCATGTTACTTGTTGGTCAAGATCCAAATTTTCATCTTTTGCCTTCAGTTGACCACCTCCCACTGCTTCACTTCCCTGGGATTCCTGGGCCACCACTTCCAAACAGATTCATTCAGTCTCCTTTTCATCAAGTTATTTCAATCCCTCTTCTAAGTCTTCTTCTTGGACACGCCCCAAGTCTAGAACAGTGGTTCTAAATTCTTTTTTGGGTCATGGACCTGTGTGTGTGTGTGTGTGTGTGTGTGTGTGGAGAGAGAGAGAGAGAGAGAGAGAGAGAGAGAGAGAGAGAGAGAGAGAGAGAGAGA